CCCTAAACCCTAAACCCTACAGATTTCCGGCCTCGGCTCCGAAGCCTTGGAAGCCTCGTCGCCCCGCAGTGTACAGACTCCTGCTGACGGAGGCGGGCCTAGGGTTCAGGGGTTTAGGGTTTAGGGTTTAGGGTTTAGGGTTTAGGGTTTAGGGTTTGAGTTTAGGGTTTAGGGTTGGGAATTTGGGTTTAGGGGTTTAGGGGTTTAGGGGTTCAGGGGTTTGGGGTTTAGGGTTGGGATAGCAGGGTTCAGGGTTTAGGGAGTTGGGGGTTCAGGGGTTAGGGGTTCAGTGGTTTGGGGTTTAGGTTGGGATATTAGGCCTTAGGGTTTAGGGTTGAGGGTTTCGGCTTAGGGTTTTAGTTTAGGGTTTAGGGTTAGGGTTTATGGGGGGTTTTAGGCGTCTTAGGGGTTTTAGGGATTTAGGGTTTTAGAGGGTTTAGGGCTTAGGGTTTCTTCCTTCTGGGCTCGCTAGGTGTAGGGGTTTGGTGTGCGGTGTAAGGGGCCCGTGTTCGTGGTTTCCGGGTTGCATGAGGCATGTATTTTGTATAATTTCTTGAGTGTAGGTTTGAGGAATTCAGTTTAATGTAGGAACTTGACTAAGAAACCCTGGCCCTATAACCCCCAAAATAGAAGGATTCATATAAAGAACCCGAATAAAGACCCAGGCTTTCTTGGTCGGGGTCCTACAGTAGGAGTGCTGGGTTAGACTGGGCTGAGTATTTCAGGGTGTGACCTTCATGTCCCTAAGGTCTGACGCGCCTAAGATGAGGTGTGCGTTTTCCTTTCGTGAATGCTGAGGGTTTAACTTGAAGGTATGAATAAGTAGTTAGAAATCGCCTTGTAGGTCCCTGCAGAACTAATATGACGAGCTTACCCGAAAACACAAACAAGTAATTCCCCTGTACTAGAGCCATATAACTTATAACAGCATTATGACCTCAAAACCCAATTCCAGTGATAAAGTTCTGAGCACGAAGCGTCGTTGTTCGTCGAGTTTAAGGTTCAGGGCCAAGCCCCCGATAGTTCTTAAAAGCCTGCAGCAGTCGACGCCTTGGCATGTAGCACGTAAACACCAAGCGAGGGTAATCATTGGGGTTTACAGGGTAGTCATTGAGGTTTCAAAGGCCGTTATGGTGGTGCTGTAATAGATTATGTTGTGATCCAATACCTTTGTCTTGACCAGTGTTGTGAGCAGTAGTCGGCAAAAGTGTTCACATCCGATAACAAGCTGTCTTCCAATACAGTTCAGAGTCAGGTCTGGGACGGTAGCTAAACGAGATGCTTCCTCGCACAACGAACGAATTGACTGAGCAGACCCTATCCTGGAACCATGCCCATGGTCCTCAGAATGTCGATGTTAGTTCGACTTGCCATACTTACTTTGCAACTCCAAGGGATATTCCAGCAACACAGCAAAGCAAGCGATAGGGAAGACCAAAGCACACAGGGCAATCTGCAAAGCGGCAGACGGAGAAGGGGAGTTGCCTGTTGAAGTTAGGATGGGCATAGAGAAGAACCGGCTTGCTGGGAGGTTGAGGGTTTAGGGGCCATGCGCAGGTGCGATGGCAGATGAGCCTGTAGCCGACCAGGCCTATGATGAGGCGCATGTTCAGGGTTTAGGCTTCATTAGTTTTTAGGGTTTAGGGTGTGAGTTGCGTCTTTCCTTGTCGAGGAGTCTAGGGTAATAGACAAAGCCCAAACTCTTACCCTAGAAGGCCCAATCTCGCTTTCTCTTGGCTTTCTCTCTCTGCCTCTGTCTCTCTCTCTCTCTCTCTCTCGCTCTGTATTTGTTTCTCTCTCTTCCTCTCTCTCTCTATATATGTATGTATAATATGTATATATGACTATATGCATATAGGTATACTGTATATCTGTATATATATATATATATATTTATTTATTTATTTTTTTATTTATACATATATGTGTATATGTTTACAACGAATTGTGCAGCAGGGGCCTCGACAAGCACCATTACATAGCCTCCAGGATAAAGAAGAGGTTCAGACCTAAACCCCTAAACCCTCAACTCTAAACCCTAAACCCTCAGCTCTAAATACCTAAACCCTAAACCCTAAACCTTATGCCCTCAGGCTTTGCCTTCAAATCACTGCTCTTGGGCCTTTTTTCATTCAGTGCCGCCTGCCACCAACAAGATTTAGGTTCTTTGTGGTTGGAGTTTAGAGTTGTTGGGGCTCCCGCGTTTCTGAAATCCCACATCTTAAGAAGTGAACCAAAACCTGGTTCCTGAATTAATTCAACTTGAGAAGTTAACCCTGAACCTAAACCTAAGTTTCCCAAGTTCCACAGCTTTAACAGCGAACAGCACACTTCCCCGTCCCAAAATCATAAATCTAAAATCCTAGCTTCTGCATTACGACCGTGGAAGTGGGCCTAATTCGCGAACGAGTCCATATTCTCTGAGGGTTTAGGTCTGCTTCTTGGTCTAGTGTTTAGGTTTTGGGGGTTTAGGTTTCCTGTTTCGGGTTTAGGATTATGAGGTTTGGGGATGAGCTTAGTGACCCCGGAACCTTTCAGCATCCTAAAGCCCAACATCCTGAGCCCTGAAACCCTGAACCCTGCAACCCCTGCACCCTGAACCCTATAAACCCAAAACCCCCAACCTAAACGCTTAAACCCTAAACCCTAAGCCGTGAAACCCCTAAACCCTGAAACCCCTGGAACCCGAGACTCTTGATTCGACGGGCGTAGGCCCCTAACCCCCGTTGCCCCTTGCAACACAAACTTCAAACAGCCCCTAAACTCCTAAACCGTAAACCCCTACACTCCCAAACCCTAAATCCTGCACTCCCAAACCCTGACAATCCCGAAACTGCTAACCCCTAAAGCCCTAAACTCAAAAGCTGATAAGCCGCCCTTAAACCCTAAACCCTGAACCCTAGACCCTTAAACCCTTCAACCCCAAACCCTAAACCCTAAACCCTAAAGCCTAAAGCCCTAAACCCTAAACCCCAACTGTCCCGAAGGCGATCCCTGTCGAAACAGACGATGAGGAGGTGAGTACTCCCGGGACCTCAGAGGCCTTCCGACCATGAGCTCAGGGCTCTGGGTTTACGGTGTTTTCTGGATTTAGGGTGTAGGGTTTATAGGGGTTTCGGGTTTAGGGGCTTTGGGTTTAGGGGTTTAGGGCTTAAGGCCACGAGTGCGATGTGCTGCGAGGGAACTTGGCCGGGCGAGCTCCAATCAAGCCTGTGTACAAAGGGTTTTGAGGCTTAGGGCTTGTTTGGTTCAGGGCTTGGGGCTTAAGGTTTGGGAACTCTCCTGGCGTCTCCGAGATCAGAGATATGGTTGGTATCGATGTGGGATAGTGGTGAATTTCCCCGATTGTTTAGTTGCAGAGCCCTAATTATCAATGGTTTTGGGGACCTGTGAAATCCGCACCTAGTCTTTCAACCCTAAACCCTAAACCTTAAACCCATAAAACCCTAAACCCTAAACCCTGTTAAACCTCCTTTAAACCGGAGCTTCAGGTTCAGTGTTCCGGAACTCAGGTTCGAGGATGCGCTTTGCTCTCAGAGTCGGCTTCTGGTCTTGGCGTCATGGAAATCCGCGACGGGTTTCCTGAAATTTAGTAGGCTAATCCTAAACCCTAAACCCTAAACCCTAACCCTAAACCCTAAACCAAGTTTTGGGGCTTTCAGGGTTCCGATTTGGAGGTTCAGGGTTCTATCTAGGCTCAGCAGGCAGCGGCTTTCGGACGCAAGCTTGACGAACGGTTGAGGATCTAAGTCCCGCAGTACCCATCATAAGGAATACCTGGATCATGAAGAACCTACCTTCTTAGGGTTCCGTATTATGATTTCTTTATATAAGTCCATAAAAAAGGTAGGTTATTTGGGGTTCGGGTAGTCCATAATTCCCATGGTTTATGGTCTTTAAGGTAATGCAGGAGTTATATCATCAACAGAGTGTTCGGGCACAGCAGGTTTGCAGATCACTAGGTGCTGCCGGGGCTTTAGGAGTCGAGGCTCAGGCCTTGGAAAAGCCACGGCATCTGTTGCCATGTTATTAGACACATATAGTATGTATACATATACTTATTTATTTATTTATTTATTGATTTATATTTATATTTATATTTATATTTATATTTGTTTCTATATCTAATGTGTATTACATACTACATAGCATATATATATATATATACATATATATATATATATATATATATATTACATGTTATATAACATACTGTGTCTTATACGTTAAATCAGTTACACATGATATATTATACAATATTACATATGTAAACCCGGAAAAGCCAAGCCCGCAGCCCTGCGGTCTCTGAGCCCTGAAAGCCCTGAAGCTGAAAACTCTCGAAGGCCAAGTGCTCCCAAAAGCAGACCCTAAACCCTAAACCTTAAACCCCAAAAGCAGACCCCTAAGCTGAACAAAGCATCAACTGAACCATGACGCCTACAAGAAATCCTCGACTTCTAAACCCCCAAACCCAGACCCCCCTACCCTCTATAACCCCCAAACCCAGACCCCCCTACCCTCTTGGTTGCCTTAAATGCCCACGAATCTGGACCAGAACGGCTCCATGAAAGGGTTGTGGGGGCCCGGAGACCTAAGATCTTAAACCTAAACCCTTAAACCCCAACACCCTAGACCCGTAAACCCTAAACCCTTAACCCCTAAACCCTAAACCCTAATCCCTGACATCCTAATCCCTAAAGCCTAATCCCCAACATCCTAAACCCCAACCCCGAACATCCTAAACCCTAAACCCTAAAAACCTAAACCCTAAACCCTAAACCCTAAAAACCTAAACCCTGAACACAAAAACCCTAAAAACCTCAAAGCCAAAGCCGCAGGCTGGGACACCCAAGGCGCCTGCAGAGCGTCCGGCCCAGGCTGCTGGTGGTCGGGAGAAATCAGGCGCGCTCCGGGACTTTAGGGGTTTTAGGGTTTACGGGTTTAGGTGTTAGGGTTTAGGGATCAGTGTAAGGGCCTTAATAATTTGAATAGGGTTTTGGGAGTGCCTTACTATAAGTATAGTATACTATACCCTCAAACCCTGTACTAATTATTAAGGCCCCTATATTAGGTCTTTAGAAGGTTAGGGCTTAGAGTATTAGGGTGTTATATAGGGTTTGAGGTTTAAGGGTTTAGGGCCTTGGGGCTTTAGGATGCAGGGCTTGAGGGTTTAGGGCTTTAGGGAGTTTAGGGCTTTAGGGTAGGGTTGTGGCTTTAGAATGTTACGGTTTAGGGCTTTAGGGTGTGAGAGTTTAGCGCTTTAGGACTTTAGAGTTTAGGGTGTCTTAGGGTTTCATGGCCCAGCCTTCGGACAGCGAATGCCATGCGGACGGCTGGGCTGCATGCAGATCTGCAGACGTGTGCCCCAAACCCTAACCAAAATCCTAAACCCTAAACCCTAAACCCTGTTCCCACTTCTCACAGACGTGCTTGTGTCTGGAGGAGCTTCCAACACCTGCAACTTTAAGGACCTTCGGAAATCTTGGCGCTGTGCTCCGAGGTCATCCCAGTTCAACGGCGGCCGTCAGACTCTACGGTTTAGGGTTTAGGGTTTAGGGTTTATGGTTTTGGTTCTATTATGGAATTCATGAACAGGCCGACGTGCGGAAGAAGCGATGCCCTACTGTTGGCTTGTGGTGGAGTAGCTGTGCACGTTGGCTCTCAAGAGCTCTGGGCTCAGACGAGGGTTACTATCGGGGTTACTATAGTAGGGGATACTACAAAGGTTACTTCGAGGGTTCGTACGGGCTTAGGGTTTACAGTTTGGAACTGTTGGGTCGACATACCATACTTAAACAGGTTTTGGGATATACCTAAGCCCTAAGTCCTAACCAACCCTACACCTATGTTGTACATGTTGTAACCATATCTCTGTGGGTACTTCGCTGAATTAGGATCCTTTTCAGGTCGCCAAAATGGTACGGCACCCTTGTAGAAGGGGACCTTAAAGGGGACCCGAATTCCGAAAGAACTACCCATTTGCAGTACTGCATTGAGCTTTGGGTGTAGGACACTGGGCCGAGGTCGTTCGAGGCCTTTTTCGAAGACCCTAAGCCCTAAGCTCTAAACCCTCTGCCCTAAACTCCGGAAACCTAAGCCCGAAATCCTAAGCCTTAAACCGGAAAGATTTGAAACAAGCCCAGAGCCTTATCTTGTGAGATCCGAGTTGCGATCGATCTAGGGTTTAGGTTTCAGGGTTCAGGGCTTTTGGTGTAGGCTTTGGGGCTCAGGGTTTAGGGCTTACGGCTTAGGGTTTTGGGAGCAGGTTGAGCTCATGTTTCGAACTTAGGCAGCTGGGTCCTTTGGTCCCTGCAAAGGTGCCGCAGCCAGCGAGAGTGGAGACTCCGAAAGCAGCGAGGAGAACCGGGTTTGGTGCTTTTGTTAACCGTAATATTGGGGCCGAAATAATTACCAACACTATTCTGGGGGTTCCTTATTATAGTTTGAGTATAATGGGGCCCAAAACCCAGTCTTGTCATTAAGGCCCGTACTGTACCTTACTCTGCGTGTGCTATGGTCTTATGTTCCCTGCAGCCGTGGTCGATCACTCACGCTCCCAGGATAGACGGAGAAATTGACATCGACGGCTGGACTCACGCACTGTCCGCAACTGTCCCTCACAGTGCATGAGCTGTTCTACAAGATGGATCCGGACGAATGAGGGCTGTTGGAGTCATTGGGACTCCGTTGGGTACGGGTTCAGGAACTCAGGAATGGATCAATCTTCACGACAGGTACCTAGCTATTATGGTAACTTAGCAACACTCTGTAACTAAATCCCTCAACCCTGAGCCTCTAAGTAAACCCCTAATGCCCCTACCCACCGCCAGTACCAGAAGGGTTACTACAAGGGTTCCTACAAGGGTTTCTATAGAGGTTAGTATGAGGTTTACCGTAAAGACTCACACGTTAAAGTTTTTCGGCCTGGAGACCAAGCTATATGAGTCTTTTAGGCTTATGGTAAGTCTTACGAAAGGGATTGCAAAATGTGTCTTACGAGAGGGATTGCAAAATGTGGCACCACGAAAATGCGTTACCATAAGGATGGCGATGAGGGTTCACAAAAGGTTCAGGTTTGTTGCTTACACGGGTTGGTTTTTATACAGGGGTATTATCACGGTTACTGAAACGATTATTGTAAAGGTTACTATTTTTCATGTGTTATCCTAAACCCTAGACCCTAAACCCCCCAAACCCTTAACCCCTGTACTTCAAGGGCCAGCGGCTGAGGCCCCCCTAAACCCTAAACCCTAAGCCCAAAGCAACCCTAAGCACCAAACCCTTAGCCCTAAGCCCTAAACCCTAGCCCTAAACCATAAACCCTAAACCCTAAGCCCTAAACCCCCAACCCTAAGCCCTAAGCTTTAAGCACTAAGCCCTTAGCCCTAAGCCCTAGCGCTAAAGGATAACCTCTAAGCCCTCAGCCCTACACCCCCAACCCTAAGCCCTAAGCTCTAAGCCCTAACCCCTAAGCCATAAGCCCTTAGGCCTAAACCCTAAACCTTACGCCGCAAACCCAAAGACGCCAGGGTCCGAAACACAAAAAAGGCCGAGAGACCTAGATCCTTAGATCCTAAACCAAAAACAACGGGTAGGGATTAGGGGTTTAGGGGATTGGGGGTTTATAGGGGGTCTATAGGGGTTTAGGAGTTTGGGGTGTCCCCGATCCTAAAGCCCCAAAGCCCTAAACCCAAGACTTGCACTCCTACACCAGCCCCTAAACCCTAAGCCCCAACGACTCAAACCCTAAACCCTGAAATCCTAAATCCTGAACCCTAAACCCTTAAACCCTAAACCTTAAACCCTAAACTCTTCAACCCTAAACCCTTAAACCCTAAACCCTAAATCTTCAAAGTCCTTGTCCTGAAAGCCCCAAGGCCCCGTAAGCCGAAGCTCCAAATCCCCAAACCCGCGAAGGCCCAACCATGCCACTTTTTACCAACACTCACAGCAACTCTTAACCCTAAACCCTAAACCCCCTATAAACCCCTGAACCCTTGTAAACCCTAAACCCTAAACCCTAAAACCCTAAGACCCTAAACCCTAAACCCTAAACCCTAAAACCCTAAACCCTAAACCCTAAACCCTAAGACCCTAATCCCAAAACCCCCAAGCCTTATCGGAACGCCAAGCCGGCAGGGCTCGACCTCCGAATCTAGCGACGAGGTCGCCAGGGTGTTGATCATGATTTTAAGGTATGGGTTCCTTCAGGGTTCCTTTAAGGGTTCCTTTGAGCGATCCTTGAAGGGCTTTCAGGAGTTTAGGGTGTAGGGGCTTCGGGGGTTAGGGTTTTTAGGGGTTAGGGGCTTTGGGATGTAGGTTTTAGGGATTTAGGGAATTAGGGGCTTAGGGGTTTAGGTATATAGGGATTTAGTGATTTCGGGCTTAGGGGTGTAGTAGGATTTTCCTAGGGTGCTTTTTGCAGAATCATCTTGAGGGCTTAGAAGGAGCTGTGCAAGAGCAGAGCTGGAAAGAGGCTTTCGGCAGGGCGTGGGTTTCGGGTTGAGGGTTTAGGGTTTAGGGTTCTGAGGAGTAGCTGACGGCTTTTATGGCTTCGTGGGAGATGCATGCAGGTACTGTTCAGGTCTACGTATATGGTTTGGGCTCTGGCACTGTAGGGTGTGACCAGCTTTTTGAAACTCAGATGAGCCTAGTGCCGATTCGTGCATTTGATATTGCGCACTGGTCATCATGCGGCTAACGTAGTCACAATCGGAAAGTTACCCACCCTCTAGCCCTGAACCCCAAACTCTAGTAAGCCGGGCTCAGCAGGCATACTTCAGTAGGGTCTAGGCATCAACGGGAAGTGGAAAACGGGATCGAGGCTTAGGGTTTACGGTTCAGCCCGTAACACTCAAGAGAATCATCAAAAGCATATGCAACCCTGCCCCCCCCCCCCCCCCCCCGCCATTTCTAAAGAAGCGCATGTTCAGTTCCACACCACAAATGCCAAGCCGCAACCACGCCAGGGAGGAGGCAAGAAGAGTGCCAACATGCCAGCGGGAGCGCGAGGGGCCCAACCGGGGAGATTGCTCCCTGCTATTCCGCGAGTAGTAACTGTCTTTCCTCATGCGCCCTATATGACCTAATTGTAGTCGATAAAGGTATCCATCATCTTCATTGTAGATATTCCCGTAGAAATTTTTCAAATTTATAGCATCTGAATGAGTCTTCTACGGAATATCTGGACATACTGTAGTAGACCCCAACACGCATTCCTACCCAAGCCCTACCCTACCTAGAGCCTGAAGAACATATAATATACTTTACACTTTGCCAAGCACAATCTGGTGCAACACTCCCCAAAGCCTCGGAGATCAATCAGTCCCTGATGAAGCCCACAAAGGGAGTTTAGGGTTTAGGGTTTAGGGCAATCTGGATGAGTCAGAAGTAAGCCCGAAACCCCTAAACCCAAGGAAGTACGACCCGGAGAAGCTTTCAGTAGTTCATTCGTACGAGTATCCCTCTATAGTCCCTGTCTAATAGATCCCTAAAGCCTTCAACACAGAGGCGCAACCCGACTGAAAAGCCTCAAACCCCGAGGACCCCAAGCCCTGAACCCTAAACCC